ACTTGATTCTTTCATTGAACGCAAGCCTCCCTTTGCAAGAGCAAGCATCTGTTTCCGCGAGAAACAGGTCACCGCCGGGGACGCCGGCCCTGCCCCTGCTCTTTATCTAGGCCCGGTGAATGCGTCGAACACCCCACCCCCAACCACACCGCCAGCTACACGCTTCCCGCTCCCTACGTCCCGACCACAAGCCTCCATCTCGCCTCCCCCCGCCCTCTAGGCAGTGCCACCCGCCTCCTTCCTCCCCCCCACCCCATTCTCCCCGCCCAGGCCACACTCCCCTCTCCCCACCCGGGCCACACGCCTCCTCCCGCTCCTCTTCCCGCCGGCGCTCCTGCTGCCGCTTTAACGGCCGGGACCGCCCGGCCCGCGCCGCGCGCTGCAAGCGGGGACCCGGGGGGCGACAGATTTGGGGCATTGCTCGAGGGCAGTGAGTCATGAAAGCCGCTTTTGTTACCCGCGCGTGCGGTTCGCGTGCCGCTCAGCAGCCTGCAGCGCCCAGTGGGGACAGGAGCTGGAGGAGTAACGCTAACTGGCAGCGCGGGCCGAGGGAAAGGGCGAGAATTTAGGCAATCGGGAGGGGAAAAGTGTTCAACTGTCGAAACAAAGTCCAAAGAGGGAGAGGAAAATAAGGAGGCGGGGGCGGCGACTGTGCCTCCTACTGAGCCCCACAGCGCCCGCACTCCATACTCTTCCAGCGTTACCGCCACCACTGTAGTCTGGCCCCGCTTTCTCGCCCCTTCTCCTTTCAACAAAAAGCACCTCAATCTAGGTCTAGTCTGCACTTCTCCCCTCCGGGCTTGACTACTAGTCTGCCGCCTCGGGGAAGTCCAGCCTGGGCTCTCTCTAGGCGCCAAGATTCCCTCGCTGGGGTATTGACATTCTCCGCGCAGAGGGGGGTTTGCACCCAAGCTCTGTTGGCGGTGAGGCTCATTAAGAGCCACAGTGAGACCGAACCTCGCCAGGTCTCTGGAACATCCCGGAGTGGCCTTTTCTTTGTATAAATCCCAGGCCTGGGAGAACTACGGACACTGGGATTAGGGGTGAATTTATTAGGAAGAGAAGGAACAGGTCTACTAATTTCTGCACTTTGCGCATTTGAGTCTCGGCGGGCCAAACACCCGGTCCTTTTCTGCCCTGGAACATCTGGTTCCACCAAAAATCTCCTGTATTCCACAGGATGTCGCAAACTGAGGAAGTTTTCGCTTCCCGGGGGAGGAGGGATTCCCCCAGGTCATCCTCGGGTCTTTGGACAGCTTGAGCCATCTCTTCCATTCGCCCCTAACATTTCTCCTGAAGCTCCTCTAAGACCGAGGAAGGAGAGCCAGGGCACCAGATGCACATCCCCGCCGCACGGTGGGCTAGCTTGTGGGGCAGCTGCCGGGAGAGTGGGGGACCCTTGGTCCAGCCCTGCAGCAAGTGTCCTCAGACCTGCGAGTTGTGGACCCGCCTTAACTTCGAGGGCCCTTGAGTTTGAACGCAGAAAAGCAAAAACTCCTTACAGCTCTGCTCTTGAGAACCTAGCATAATTCACGTCATGCTTTCGGCAACGGGTCAGGGTGTCCCCTTTCAGATTTGCGCTGGACGGGGAAGGCTGCCATCGCCACCTTCTAGACACCAAAGATCTCGTTAGGACCCTCTTCCCCTCTCCACTGCATCGCCCCTCCAGTTCCCAGAGGCACCTAGCTTCAGCCGCTCAGCCCTGACACTGTTTGCAAACTCAAGGGGCTTTTAGAGCAACTGCCTTTAAATAAACAATCCAAGTTCGATGCATTCATTTGAAGAGGCAACGTGTCTGGGAGGGATAGGGTGTTAGTTAATGGTTAGAGACGAAGCTGGTGGAGAAGGAATGGAAATGATGGGATATATAACTAAAACCTGCCTTGGTAGGAATGAATAAATAATCACCATTCAAACACACATATAGTTCCTTCAGAATTAGTCGGGAATCTCTATGATCTTTGCTTGACGTGCAAAGTGGAGGTCCTGTGAGGTCAGCGTCTTTGAGGTCTGGAAGAGTCATGGCCATCAACCCCTTCCAGAGTTGTGCTAAAGGCCTTTCTTGAAAGAGGAGTGAAACGACTCATTTAGCATAGGCCCGTTGCATCCTCCTTTGAGAAGGCTTGTTTGAACCAAGTACCTACTTACAGGCCTGAGAGTGTGGAGTGCCAGCCTGTGGCAAGGAACAAGGTGCATCGGATGAGGGCATCCTTTGCAACAATCCAATGGCCTTGGCAAAAAGGCAGAATCCAAGCAACAGGGGAGTCCCCCAGCTTCCACACAGAGAGCTCTTGAGGCCGAAGGAGCCAAGTCCTGAGCGCATGGACTAGCTGGCGCTGAGGACCAGGACTTCTGTGGGGAAGTCTCCAGGGACAGAGGTAGCTGAAGGTGGGGGCACACCCAGTTGCATTATGTATGGTGGGGTAGAGTGACAGGTACAAACTTTCTATGCTGTAGAGGGTGGGAGGGGGTTATACAATTAAGGAGGCTAGAGGACTAGCATCAAAGCTGAGTTTACAGATGAAGCCATTTTTACATGGCGTATATGTTTTCTTGAGGGTTTGGTGGAGATGAGGAGAAGCCACCCTTTGGCGCCAATAAGCAAAGCGTCTGCCAAGAGGAGGAAACCCCAGAGATGGACAACTCAGAGAGGGCAGAAAGTCTTGGTGCTCTGGAGACCAAAGCCTGGACGAGGCATCCAACGGAGTCAGGACGCTTCATGGCACGCCTCAGTCTCCAGGCTTCTGCCTCTTTCACCTCCGCCCTACTTCCCGCCCCAACGCGGGCCACTCACTCTGATCTAAACCCAGTCAACGTTAGCTTTCCCGCTCCCTTCCCTCAATTCCCCTCCCCCCTTGCCCCATCTCCCTTCTGCCGCCTGAAAGGGTTAATCTCTCCTGCGGGTAAAAACAGGTCCGCGGAGTCTCTAACTGGCGACAGATGGGCCACTTTCTTCTGGCCACAAAGGGGCCGGAATGGAGCGCTCCGCGGCATACAAATGGGCAGGTCACGTGGTTCCCGGCTCCTGGCTGGACCGGGAAGACCATATGGCGCATGCCGGGGAGGAAGGAGATGGGGCGGGGGTAGAGGTGGGGGCGAGGGGAGTTGGAGTCGGAGGAGGGTGGGAGAGGAGCAAGGCTGAAGGGGCGGGCGGTGGGGGAGGGCGGAAGGGAGCGCTCAGCCTGGATGCGTGCGCAGGCGCCGGGCGCAAGGACCTGCTAGCCTCTCGGCTCCCGGCCCCGCCTGCGCTCAGCATCACCAACCCGGCTATATAACCTGAGCGCCCGCGCGGCCGGGACACGAGGAATTCGCCCCACGCAGAAGGCACGGCATCCGGAGGCCCCAGGGTTATGAGACCATCACTGCTCAGGACCTACTAACAACTGCAGGTAATTACAATTCTTTCATTTTTGCCTGGGAATAAAAGCAGTAATTGAAACCGGATGTACCTACACATATTCTGAGCGTGTGCGTTTGCGAGCGTGTGCGTGTATTGAAATAGGCATTCATCCTCCCCATGATTGCAGGCAAATACGCACACATTTCGACTCGCATCGCTCAAATACCCACCGCAGGCTTTCTAATTAAAAAAAAAATGTTTTAGTGTTTTGGTTTTGAGGGAGGGAAATTATAGGAGTATCTTTGGATTTTTTAAAATAATGCACAGTAACTGTGATTATTTGCTAGTGGTGATTTCAAAATCATGAAAGGAAATAACTTTCTCACTTCTTCCAGTAAGGAAAAAGAAAAAAGAAAAGCCCTGTTACCAAGATTTGTTTTGTGTGCATGTATTTTATGCACACTGGAAGTGCCAAGTTACTTTTTCAGTGAATAAAAGGGACATTTGATACCCGGAGTATACACACCCCGGAAAATAATCCCGTTGACAGATAATTTAGTTGAGGGTGGGGGGAGAATGTGGGGAATGAGAGAGGAACCAACTCGGCTACCTGTTACTGTTCCAGAGGCAGCCAAGTCCCCAGCAGCCACTGCAGGAGCCAGAAATTCAGTTGTCTCACTAAAGGCTTTTTATTTTCTTTATTAGAAGCGGCAACTTCTCTATTGCCAATCGCTGACCATTATAATTACTCAATTTTTTAAAGAGAGGTTTGAGGCGAAGTTTGAAAAGCCCCAATAAAGAGCGGGCGGCCCTTTCAATGGGCTGTTTATTAGAGAGGAGCTTTCCGCACCTGATCCCAAGCGCGTGGAAGGGCGCTCTGCTCTGTGCCCCCAGCCCTGGCCATGTAGCTAGCGCTTTTGTACAAGGTGGAAATTCAGCAGAGGGACAGCGGTGGGAGGCGAGAAAAGAAAGACGAGGGTGGGATGGAAGACCCCTGCCCACTTTTGTTGCCAAATGTTTCGTTGATGGTGAAATAATTTGGTGGAAACTACTTTTTCTCCGCCATGAATTTGCCCTTCAATCTCCGGTTAGTATAATCTTCTTAAAAATCACTGCCACCGTTAGTAAATTACGTAATGGCTCTTCAACTGTAATCGCTAAATACAAGAAGCCAGGGCAGAGAAGGGAACAAACAAAATTGCGATTTTCAAACTCATTTTTTGTGGAGTTGTGAGTGACTTTGAACTCATGCAGATAAACGTGAAGTATTCGGGGGGGGGGAACAAACATGAAGTAGTCGAAATGTATGCTCATTTTCACGCATATTATTCTGCCACATAATCACCATAAACACACTTTCACCAATCACTAGGAAACATACACACAGCAGTGTACATATACACATATTTACTCTCTCCCGCACCTCCAGCCCTGCCCTGTCTCCTATATGTCAGCGGGGCACACACACGCCATTATAAAACACAGTATTTAACTTTTTCTTAGGGGCATCCATTTTGTAATGAGCTGGAACTTCTCTTCACGTGCATTTCTACAAGGTTAGGGAGTGGGAGCTGAAGGCATAGGTAGTTTTTGAATGTCGCGTTTTTCTCCTTCTCTTTCTGTTCCTCTCTCCCTCCTGTTGAATGTAGGAAACCGAAACATGACCAAATCATACAGCGAGAGCGGGCTGATGGGCGAGCCTCAGCCCCAGGGTCCTCCCAGCTGGACAGACGAATGTCTCAGTTCTCAGGACGAGGAGCACGAGGCAGACAAGAAAGAGGACGACCTCGAAGCCATGAACGCGGAAGAGGACTCACTGAGGAACGGGGGAGAGGAAGAGGACGAAGACGAGGATCTGGAAGAGGAGGAAGAAGAGGAAGAGGAGGATGACGATCAAAAACCCAAGAGACGGGGCCCCAAAAAGAAGAAGATGACCAAGGCGCGCCTTGAGCGTTTTAAGCTAAGGCGCATGAAGGCCAACGCCCGGGAACGGAACCGCATGCACGGGCTAAACGCGGCTCTGGACAACCTGCGCAAGGTGGTGCCCTGCTATTCCAAGACGCAGAAGCTGTCCAAAATCGAGACGCTGCGCCTGGCCAAGAACTACATCTGGGCTCTGTCGGAGATCCTGCGTTCGGGCAAAAGCCCTGATCTGGTCTCCTTCGTACAGACTCTCTGCAAGGGCTTATCCCAGCCCACCACCAACCTGGTTGCCGGCTGTCTGCAGCTTAATCCTCGGACTTTCCTGCCTGAGCAGAACCAGGACATGCCTCCGCACCTGCCTACCGCCAGCGCTTCCTTCCCTGTGCACCCCTACTCTTACCAGTCGCCGGGGCTGCCCAGTCCGCCTTACGGTACCATGGACAGCTCCCACGTCTTCCACGTTAAGCCGCCGCCGCACGCCTACAGCGCTGCGCTAGAGCCCTTCTTTGAAAGCCCCCTGACTGATTGCACCAGCCCTTCCTTTGACGGACCCCTCAGCCCGCCGCTCAGTATCAATGGCAACTTCTCTTTCAAACACGAACCGTCCGCCGAGTTTGAGAAAAATTATGCCTTTACCATGCACTATCCTGCAGCGACCTTGGCAGGGGCCCAAAGCCACGGATCAATCTTCTCGGGCGCCGCGGCCCCTCGCTGCGAGATCCCTATAGACAATATCATGTCCTTCGATAGCCATTCACATCATGAGCGAGTCATGAGTGCCCAGCTCAATGCCATCTTTCACGATTAGAGGCACGTCAGTTTCACCATCCCCGGGAAACGTACCCACTGTGCTTACAGTGACTGTGGTGTTTACAAAAGGCAGCCCTTTGGGTACTATTGCTGCAAAGTGCAAATACTCCAAGCTTCAAGTGATATATGTATTTATTGTCGTTACTGCCTTTGGAAGAAACAGGGGATCAAAGTTCCTGTTCACCTTATGTATTATTTTCTATAGCTCGTCTATTTTAAAAAAGTAATACGGTAAAAAAAAAATGCACCACAAATTTGGTGTAGCTGTATTCAGATCATATTAATTATCTGATCGGGATAACAAAATCACAAGCAATAATTAGGATCTATGCAATTTTTAAACTAGTAATGGGCCAATTAAAATATATATAAATATATATTTTTCAACCAGCATTTTACTACTTGTTACCTTTCCCATGCTGAATTATTTTGTTGTGATTTTGTACAGAATTTTTAATGACTTTTTATAATGTGGATTTCCTATTTTAAAACCATGCAGCTTCATCAATTTTTATACATATCAGAAAAGTAGAATTATATCTAATTTATACAAAATAATTTAACTAATTTAAACCAGCAGAAAAGTGCTTAGAAAGTTATTGTGTTGCCTTAGCACTTCTTTCCTCTCTAATTGTAAAAAAAAAAAAAATTGCACAATTTGAGCAATTCATTTCACTTTAAAGTCTTTCCTTCTCCTTAAAACGAAAACCAGATCCATAACTCTTAAGAGGATAAAAAAAAAAAGAGAGAGATGTAGTCCCTATCAAAACATATCAATTCAACACATTACTTGCACAAGCTTGTATATACGTATTATAAACAAATGCCAACATACCCTTCTTTAAATCAAAAGCTGCTTGACTATCACATACAATTTGCACTGTTTCTTTTTAGTCTTTTACTCCTTTGCATTCCATGATTTTACAGAGAATCTGAAGCTATTGATGTTTCCAGAAAATATAAGTGCATGATTTATACATAGTCACACAAATGGTGGTTTGTCATATATTCATGTAATAATAAATCTGAGCCTAAATCTAATCAGGTTGTTAATGTTGGGATTTATACCTATTGTAGTCAATTAGTACAGTAGCTTAAATAAATGCAAACCATTTAATTCATAATTAGAACAATAGCTGTTGCATGTAAAATGCAGTCCAGAATGAGTGCTGTTTGAGATGTGATCCTGGTACCACTGGAATCGATCTGTACTGTAATCTTGTTTGTAATCCTGTATATTATGGTGTAATGCACAATTTAGAAAACACTCATCCAGTTGCAATAAAATAGTATTGAAAATTCAACCAATTGTTGCATTTCTTCTTAAAGTGATTTTTAAGCAAAAATAATTCCTAAGCAGAATAGTTGCTTTATTTGCTGAATTAAAAAAATACTAAATGTATTTGTAGAATAAAACAAAAGACAAAAGTTTACTTTAGCATACTCTTTAGTCTATCTTGGTTAAGGAGTCACCAGCTCCTTGTAGATAATGAAAGAACCTAACTCATATTTCATTACATGGAATATGAGGCTGGGGGGGTGGGGTGGGGAGACAAATGGTTGTGTTTGTTTTTCTTTGTTTTAAGTGTCTTCACTTTCAGCTTTCTATTCTTTTAAATGATTATATTATGTTTTTCCCATTTTTTTAAAAAGGAGTACTTAATTATTAACAAGCAGACACAAACAAGTGCCCTAGCTTAGTTTGTCTATATATTTGGAAATATATAAGAAAACCTTACCATTTTCGTAGTGCTTTGTTATCTGTACATTTTCTTGAACTGAATTGCAAATCAGTACTATCACAAAGTACCATTGCACTTTACAAGCCAATATTATACAATAGTACTATACAATGTAGTATTGGTTTGCAAACCAGTACTATCCCAAAAGACAGTTATGTACCTTTAGAAAATGCCAGGGGGAAATGACTTAATTAACTTAAAGAATCCAAGAAGTGGCATTTTGTAATTATCTTATGAACATCTTGTGATGATTTCAATAATTTTTTTCCAGAAGAAAATGTAGTGAGTTATTTATACTCAAGAACATACTATTTGTAGTATAATATATTTTAAGATGATACAGTTGTGTCCCTTCCCTTTTTGGAACGCTAAATAGAACTCTGTGGAAAAACTTACAGATGACTCTATTGTTAAGTCCACCAAAAAAAAAAAAAAAAGAAGAAGAAGAAGAAGTTTGGCATTTCTCTTCCTCTGGATGTATTGACTGACAGGAATGCTTCCTAGGGAATAACATTTTGGCACTTGTGCCCTGGCTCTACCATGGTGCTCTGATTACTGTCATTAGTAACTCCATTGTTCCTCCTCTGATTCGGATGCCACATTGGATGGCTACCTCTCTTCCCTAGCTTGTTCCTTTGATCTCCTTCTCATTGGTGATTTAGGGGTTCCAGAAAGCTGACCTCATTTAGCAAACTGCTCCAGAAAAATGTAAGTAATCTAATGGACAGGAACAATTAGCCATACTAATAACATTGCCAATGGGGCTATGTCAAGCTGTGACAGTAGCAGTAAGGAATATTTCAACATTCAAAGATGTTTGAGTTCAATTTAAAATATATCATTTTAGCATGTTTTCCATCAGCCTTCATCAGATGACAGAAATACTTTTAAGTTAGTCTCAACTTTATCCAAAACGCAGTAATCTCATTCCAAGTGAATCAGGGTTGTTATTTTGAAATCAAGCTGTTGCTTCTAGGATTGCTCTCACTGTTCTTACTTTAAGAGATGTACTACTGATAGGCTATCTGAACAGTGTCAGCCTTCCAGCCTAGGGAACCATGAAGTGAACATTCAGATCTATGTGATCTCTTCAGCGGCTTAATTTCACCTCTAATTAATATTATACATCTTCATGCAAACTAAAAACTGTTGCTGTAGCAAACAGAAGAAATAATAAGAGAATGCATTTTAAGGATTCCAGCTTTTAAAACACCAAGCAAGGAAATCTATATTGTGGATTTTTTGTTGTTGTTGTTTGGTAAGGTAGAAATGCAGACTCTAAGTTGTTTTTTTTTCCCCTTTCATTTTGCCTATGTAACTTCATTCTAAAACATAAGGATTCTTTCAGTCAGTCAAGGAGTAACTCACATGCCACCATCTTTTATTCAACGGCAGGCACAGCTGTTCCTTCTGCAGGGGAGGTTTTAATTTATGAAAATGATATTGTTTATGCATGAATGAACTGAATGCACTCTGCATCACACACAGCACTTCCATCTGATCAGAGAAATACCACAGAACCAGTGCCAATGTCAGAAACATATTCTACAAATTTACTCACTTAAATGTTTAATGAATATTTGGAAGGCATTTTCAAACCACAAGAAACCTTTTCAATTATCTTTTTCTTTTCTTTTCGAATTGCCACCAATATTTAAAAGAGACTCAGTTTTTATAATTGGCTAATGCCTATATCTAGCTAATAGGGAAAAAAAATGTTTTGCTAAGTCAAAACCAACCAAAAAGAAGAAACACTGGCAGCTTTGGCTTCATTGGAAAAAAATATTTTCTTAGTGTTGTTGTATATTGCTTGTTATGAGTAACATTTAGGGTTCTATGTGTTCTTTCATCTTGGACAATTACTATTCCTGTCAAATACAAAGCTTAGATCTACTTACCTAATGTGAAAATGCTCTAAAGAGTTATTTCCAGAAAAAAACTGTTATTTAAAATCAGCAGTCAGTTTCATAGTGGGAGATGAAATTTGCCTAAATATTTTAACCAGTGCATAATTCCTTTTGAATAGAACACTGCATAACTTAGATTTCATTTACATCACCAACTGAATTCATACAGTATGATCTACCTAGTTTTAATCCTAAAAAATACAATTAAATGCAAATTAAAATGAAGAATTATAGTATCTTAAGAATGTTCTGATAATTTTAGGTTTATAATATGGTACAGTAAAATAACATTTGCAACAAATTATAAGTGTTCTAATGTATTAATCTTTAAAAACTCCCTATGTTTTTACATTTGAAAGTCTATAATTCTTACAAAATTCATGCATTTCTGAAAGAAGCTAGCAATTACTAAAATGATATATGGATCATTAGCTAGCAGTTTGAAGCAAGCTGTTTTAGTTCTATAATTAAACAAGAGATTTAAAGTGAAAGTATCTATTCAACAATTAATAAAACTAGGCTTCAAATGCAGACTGATTTCATCCTAATGAGAATTGTAAAACAGTAAAGCTGTTCTTAAACTACGCTAAAGCCTCCTCTCTTCCTTTTTCCTCTCCCTCCATCACCACTTATTTCCTAAAAACTATCTAAATAAAATCTTTAACTCCAGGGTCTGATAAAGAATAAAAGAGCCAATGCAACATCTTGTGGAATACCAGGACTGAGAACTCTTGTTGCTACCATTGCACAGAGGCATTCTGGCGTCAGATACACGGTGATTTGTACGGTGGCATAATCACTGGCTCTTGGCCAGGCATTATGTTTCAGAGGACACTATTGTCAAGGACCATTCAACTAGAAATCTGCACTGTATGCACTCAAAAGTTGAGATCATCTGCCTTCCCATGTCAGGAAGAGTTTTGTGCTGGCAATTGACTCATAGACTCTTCACACACACTAACACTTGGTTCAATGACTCTGATGGAATTAGCTGGGTAACCAAACTAGTGGCATTGACAAGGCTACAGCCCCTGGGGACTTCTGTTTAAATTGCGAAACTTAAAATATCTTAAAATGCAGAGTATTATGTAAAGGCTGGACTAAATCCTTGGATACATTAAATGTGGATTTGGCCATCTAAACATTACTGTGCTATTTGCCCAGCTGATACAGAGGTAAGTGGATAGTGACAATAATCATTTTTATAGATCCCCAGGTATAGAGCAATCCAAAGGGATAGAGAGACTGTAAAACAACATCTAGAGATCAGAGAATGAGTTTAATCTCACATCTATGAGGCAACTTGGTAACTTACTTTGCTGTTAACAAGATTATAAGCTAACCCTGCTTTAGGCTTTGATGCCTTAAAGACACACCTCCAGGAAGGTGGCCTCATATGCTTACTAGGTCAGTGCTAAGTGCCAGGTGCTCTCTGTTCATTACACATTTCATAACCAAGCAGACCTGTGCCTTATTTTACAGAAGAAGGACCTGCAGGAAGCTGGGAT